TATATATATAAACATCTATGGTAGAAGGCAGAAGTTTACACCCTCGATATCTTAGGTTCTCAGGAAATCAAAAGTCACCTGTCTTCTTTGTCCCCCGCAACTAGAGTTATTGCCCTTTAAATGAAGCCTGGAGAAGTCACGTGGTGCCTCTGACACACGGTCTAAATGAGTTTTAAAAAAGGTGAAAAATATTCACCTGAGCCCGGGTATAAAAGAAGTGATAAAAATTCGATTCGGTCGTTTCGCCTGCATTTGCAATGACAATGCCACGTTTTAAGGCTATACTGCAAGAAAAAGGAATGGGTCGTTTGGAGGGTGGAGAAAGGCCAGCTTTGGTTGCCAATCATTGTGGTGTTCACATATAGACTAACAACAGACTGATAACCCGTTTTCAGCTCATGAATTCTACTGCAGACCGAAAAAAGGTCAGGTCGACCCAGAGTGACCGATGCACGTGCATACAGACACATTCTCCGGATGTATCGTTTAAATCGACTTCAGACAGCTACAAGAACATCAGAAGAGCCAGACGTCGACACACAGTGCATTTAGATGCATTAACAGGAAGTCGAAAATGTATTCCGTTAAAATTTAATATTCACAGTGATGCCCCACGTATCCTTTCATAATGCCTGAAAACAGTTTGTGTTTAAATTCCGTCGTTTAGTTTTAAAAAAAAAGGAAAACTAAGATGATCACCTTTGCAAACGTAAACAGGATTGTGCGTTTCTTTTGCTCGCTATATACAGTGGCGTCCAAAAGAAACTTGAAAATACAATCACCCTATCCTTGTGTTAAAGCCACTCATACAGTATACCAATTTAAAGCTAAATAAATTCTGCATCTTCTGACATATTATTATTCATATTAATGTTTCATCAAAGAGACGCCCGAGATATGCTCCCTCAAAACTGACCTAAAAAAATCAGGTTTGACAAACTTGTGTGAAATCAAAGTAAGATTAAAATGTCTTCGCATATGTGTTGTGGAGTATTAATATTGATAAAATGGACATACATTGCATATCCAGTGAATGGAGAATTTTTCTGAGCAGTAAACAATATTTTAATTTGTTAGGTTCAAATAAAACAGAAAACAAAACCATCACAACTACCACACAAAACTTGGACTTAGCGTTAAATGTGCTCATTGTTATTTTGCTTAGGAGCCATTTGTTTTGTATTGGTACTAACACTTTGGGCAGCCGTTGTGGGCACCCCGTATTACTGAGTCCACATGCCAAAAAGGTTCTTTTGCTTTACACGAAGCCAATCGCTCTTAAACAAAACCAAAACCATACTAATGAGCACATGTAATGTTAAGTCCACGTTTTGCAAGATATTTGTGACTACTTTGTTTTCTAATTTGGGTGAAAATGTCATCAAAAGAAGCCGTTCTTT